TATCATGAACTTCATCTTACTGAACATATACTTATGGAGAGCACTTACTTCAGATTACATTGGACCTAAGTCAACAGACTTCTGTTTGTAAAACAGCAATTACTACCTCTAGCCTTTACTCTCTTTATTTCATCATTTTTCATGTATTAAGCTTCAGGGTGCTTCTTGTAATTGCTGAGTGACTTTATGAGACCACATTAGAAGTTCTGGGCCATTCAAACTTTTCAGGTTTCCTGTAAAATCTTGTTGCATAGTTTTTAAATTGAACTAAGTATGGCTTTAAAGAACAAAGTGAAAGGCTTCCTCCCACCTTAGTTTCTACAGTGGAGAACTACATCATTAACACAAAGCAGTTCTGAGGCACACTGAACAATAAGTTTTCTGGTTTTCTCTTACTCTGATCCCATACCTACTCCTTAAATACAGCTAAATTACATTGCTGCCCCTAGCTGGAAGCAGTCACAGCAAGAAGTGGAAACAAAGGAAGAAGAACCTGGGCAATGACTGGCGAGCAAGAGAACAGGAAACCCAGGAGTCAGAACTGCAACACTGTAAATTGGGAAGCTGGCTGAACAGTCATTTGATTACCAAATTCTTGGACATACCAAGCTCAGAGACAGCTCAGCCCTACTAATGCAGTGTCCAAGCAACTAGACAAAGAATTTCTCATGGTCAAGTTCAAGGCCTAAAGTGAACTGTCTTCAACTGGACAAATATTTAAACATTTAAGGGGGCTATTAATCATTACACCTTGAGAGACTGTCATCCTTAATAATGCCAAAGTGCTTGGTAATTTATGGCACAGAAGGGCAGCTATCATGAGGCTCCTGGGTAGCAGCCAACTCTTGCTTATCACACCAGACTGGGTGGATAGGAAATGCTGGCTCTTGATACTGCAGTAGCTCCCTGGGGGGCTTTTGGTACCCTCACAAGAGGGCATTTTAGTTCATCCCAAGGACCCAGAGATAACAGACCAAGTATGTTTTGCTCAAAAAGAGGAACTAGACTTGACACACTCTGTGGAATTTTGAACCTCTAAGTCCTAGCAGCCAATGTTTCATACTTGATTAGCTCATCCTGCAGACAAACCATCACAACCAGACTAAGTTCCCTGAGGTACGCAAGAAAGACCAAAATCTTGTAATCAACTCTATTTGCAAATATCAAAAAACACATATAAGATAATATATAAAATAGGAAATCAAGTATGATATAATAGGAAGCCAAGAGCTTCACTCAGAGGAAGGATATTACATATGTCTGATCATTTCACACACATTGGCCTAATTCCATAGGATTCTAAGTGCTTTAGCAGTCAAATGCTCTAGTTTGTTTTCTCTCCTTAAAATAGACACATACCCTGCATAGATCCTCTTCTTGACCATATCTCCAGTTTTTCAGATCTGTGTATATCTCCATCAGTCAGAGGCTTGGGGAAGAAAAATGAGATTGAGCAAAGCAGCTGGAGGACACGTAAGGGGATTGCTGCAGAATTGTCATAGAACTTTCTTCCTGCATGTAGCCCTCAATTTACAAAAAAAGACTGTCCATTACTAAATTTGTAGGCACTGTGAATTACAATAATGACTTATAATTATGTAATAAGAATGTTATTGCTACATTTAAATTGCATAAACTTTAAACTTATAATAATTTATAGTTTTCCCATATTACTTTGTGTAAAAAATAAAAACAGATTTCCCATATTACTTTGTGTAAAAAATAAAAAACAGACTCCATATTATAATTGTTCCACCATAATACAAACATCATTTTGCCTCTTCAACAGTAAATATTCCTCCTCATCCATGAACCACTCTAGCTGCCTTCTTCTGAAATACACAGTTACCAACCATCGCTGGAAAAGGATTCAAGAACCAGGTGGAGAACTACTGCATAAAGTGAAATTCCTACCCACTGCAACTGTACTGCAGCAGACAAGAGAAGTTGGTTCTCTCTACTTTGTTTCAAGACTAACACAAAAATAAGTGGGAAAAGGTTGAGCTGTTGTGAGCTACCTATACAAAAAGTAGGTCAAGCTTAAAATTTTGACCTACTGATCTTTGCTTTGGCAAAAGTACAAATGTACAAAAAGTACAAACATAATGCTGCTCACATGTAAGCTCTGGCTGGAAACTAAATGATACAAATGTTTATAATAAGTCTCAATCATTAACACAATTCCTTCTTTTTTATTTCAGACAGTTTAAAATCTTTGTTTTGTGGTACATTCTATTGATCTTTGCTTTTAAGATTCACATATTTCAGTTATTCTTGTGTTAATCTCAGTGTCATATTCTGGCAAGAAATGTAACACACACACCTAAAACCGGCTCGAAGTTGATTTAAAAAATCATCACTATTAGTGAAATGCAGATAATTCCTGAAGCCACAAAGCTGAAGTCTCAAGAAGATACTTTTCCCACAGTTGGTACTGCCTATAAAGCAGATTTACAAATACAAACTTCCTGAGTAAAGCATAAGATAGACAGAAAACAAATCTGTATCTACACACACCAAATATAATTTAGTCCTATAGTAACTATACACATTGCTGTGATGTAAATAAAGAAAAAAATATTCCAAAAACCTGAAACTCAAGTATCTCAGCAAAAACACCTACGATCAGAAAAGACAAAGAAAATACCTGTTGTTCTTATATGTTTTCCCCTCCATTTAATAAAGTAAAACTGCGATAGAAAACAAAAGCTAAAAAATAAAATTAAAGCTTTGCTGCTTGTACTCACAGAAGTTTCTTTAATAAAGATGCCACCTCTGTTTTATGGAGGAAGAAACTGAGGTAGTACCATAATAACTTTCCAGCATTCACAGTCAGTTGTGCCAGATGCTGGACTGGAAATACAAGCTACTGGCTCCTAGTTCTGTATCAGGTATTACTTACCTAATTCTTTAACACCAATTAAGAGAATGAGGAATTTAACAGGATTTGGTGGGAGGCAAACTAATAATTTTGTAGCTTCACATGCTAAAAAGAAAACATCCACCTAACAGAAGCAGTATTAATTTGTACTTGTTAGAAAGTAGATGTTCCTCTATGGACAAAAACAATCAGTTCTCTCATCTTTGCTCTGGCAGGCTCAAGTAACCGGGCTGACACAGCTCTCTTTCAAGAGACTCCTCCTACACATAAAATAGTTCCATATGTTTAAATGCTGAGTGGTTGAGCAAGCACAAAATTAATTCATTACAACAATGCCTTACTATTAATTTTTCTTGTGCCTTAAGGCCTGGTCAATTACAGAATCAAAGCACAATTCAAACATGCTGCTTTGTCAGATTTTTACATCCACTTAAAAGACATCTACAGTCATGAAGTGAGATGGAAATGGTAATTTTAAAGATGGCACTGACAGTCCCAGTCCAGGCACACCTATCAATGGAGTTTTTCTTCTTAGAGTGTTCATACGATATGGGATTTAGACTCTTTGCCAGTCCTCACTAGCTCTTACTGGGGTTTTGTATTGTTTTTGAGGCACTGGCAACATCTCCAAATGCAAGTATTGTTAGCAGTGCCTACATCTTACAGCAGGACCTCATCCCCTCCTAGTCCAGATCAGCAAAGTATCACAGAGAACCAGCTTTCTCACACACCTGGGAGCATCTGCCAAAAGGAAGTGTTTTCCTAGAACTTATGTTCCAGAACATAACTGTAACACTCTGATGTCCAGATGGCTTTGGAGGCTGCTCTTCAGCAGTCATTCCTTTCTAGAACATGATAGTACATAATTCTTCTCTCTCTGTATCATCTTCGGTTTTATTTTTGTATTCTCAGAATACAGTCCAAAGAGGAAAAGGCAAATAACTTCTCCTATCACACTCACTACGTGATACAGTCCAAAAACCATCAGGAAAAAGTAATTTCATGGAATCACTTCCCATCATTCTCTACTGAGAACTGGGAGAAGCATGCTGTGTTTTGAGTATGTTGCAAGGGGCTTAACAAAGTATCACCAGACCCCTTTTACAGACAGTTTTTGAAAAGCCGACAATCCATAACTCAAAGAAACGAAACAAAACAGTTTTTGCCTCAGTGGACAGCACAGTGACTGCTCTATGCCACGGTTCCTCCACAGAGGAGCAGTGGACATTGCCAATTTCTCAGCACAGTCCCTGATAGGCAGAAGTGATAATATGCAAGACTGATTTTTACATAACACTACTTTTTGAGCAGACAACTGCATTTAGAACAGTAGTGCTAGCTGAAACTCAAGTTTATACGCTCTTTTAAATTGTTGATGTTTTATTTATTCTAATGTATTCTACTCTATTTGGAAATACTGGTGTACTTGAGTACCTTCATGTGATGTTGGCTTTATTATATGTATAGTCAGTGCTCCAAACAATGACTGGCAATTGCACTGACTGGCAATATGGTCTCAAGCTAAGCAGGAGTTGGGAATCACTGCTTGGTTGTATCACTGTTGATAGTTCATTAAGCTGATCACAACAAAGCTACAGCTCCTGGTGGACCTGTGGAGCAAAATTCCTCAGAAAGAGCTATCACATGCAGAGGAGTAACAGTGAACAGCAGTAATTTGCCACTCAGCACTAGACAATTTTTGTCACATTAGCAGGGAGTTAACTGTCTCAGGAAAAACGGCCTGCTGGGCATAGGTTTTCTTTGCCACTCAGCACTAGACAATTTTTGTCACAGGAGCAGGGAGTTAACTGTCTCAGGAAAAATGGCCTGCTGGGCATAGGTTTTCTATAGGACCATAGATACCACTGAATCTGGCATCATACTTCACAAAGAAAAAAAGTGACTTAGTATGTAAACCCAAGAATTACACATAATCCTTTGGAAGATACAGAGAAAGGCAGCATTTGTAAACAAAGTAGAAAATTTAAAATAAGTGGCAAGCTGTAGATTCACAATTTATTATCATACTGTTATTGCCCAGCATGGTATAGAAGGCAGCTTAAACAAAAATTATAATTCCTAACATAAGTGACCTTGGTGCTTGCGTCACAGATGCAAGATGAAATGGGAAGCTGTGCTGAACACTAATATCCCCCAAGTCAGCACCTTTGTGCATGGGCTGAGTGCCCTGGCCATAACGTTATACAATGTGTCCTGCTGTGGCACAGGTATCAACACAAGAGAATGTGATAAATACTGGCTTCAGAAGTTACCCATGAGAGCTTAAAAGCCTTTAATTCTGACATCCATATTAACTTGATGACTGCTGTAAAAAGGGTACACTTTGTTCTGTAAATTGGAATGAAATGAACAATCATGCTACATTGGAAGGAATGACTAAGTCACATAAACAAACTGATGGCTTCACTTTCTGAAAGGGGAGTTTATTTGATCAAATTCTCCTCTGAATTATCTGACCAATTCTAAAAGCATTTCAAATTGTCAACCCCCCCACATGTACAACTTCTAACATGTCTCATTTCCACTGTGCATAGCATTCATATCCTTTCTCCTATGAAAGGCTGAGAGCTAAAGCTAGAGCAACTTCGATCCCTTCTCCTCCCCTACTGAAGACAAAATGTCAAAATGATTAAAGAGCCTCCAACAGAAAAAAGAACCATATGGAGACAAAACTATCAGCTTTTAAAGTTCATCACAAAATAGGTGAAGATACAGAAGCAAAATTAATTACTACTGAAATCAGTGGGAGTTTAGGCATTGGCTTAAATGAAAGCCAACTCTGTCCTTTCTTGCATAGAGTATCAGTTTGATAAAAGGATGTCAGTGCAAGAATACTGAGAAGCCACTGGTTTCCAGACTGGAGTTATCAGTGTTCTGAGCTTGCACACCACCAATAACTAAACCCCAATGAGAATTCAATGAGAGAAAAACCCATCCAATTTTCATCTTTCCTTTATAATCCTAAACATGTATGAAATACCTGAAACCAAGTTAATTAACAATTCTTACATAAAGAAAAAAACACTTGGACCCACATCCACAAAGGTATCATTCCTCTGTCCTGAAAATAGATAAGCATCTGAAACCTTCAGTGATCTCAGTTACAATTCTTTGCTCCTAATTGCAATGCTGGAGAGGAATTTTTACAGCCAACATTTTTCAAAAGACTGCAAAACTTATCTTTAAGAATAAGATTTGGGAGACTAATCAGCCCTTCCCCTATATCGACTTCACCAGACCACAAGCTCCTTTAAAAAAAATACTGAAAACAATCTAGATTTTTCACAAAGTCATTAACGCCACTGATTTATTTTGCTATCCAATTTAGCAGAAAATCATCATTATCTCTGGAGCAAGATGTACATATTTTTTAGCATTCAGATCAGATTTTTATTTTTCCCCCTGAAATGTAAGCTCAGGCTCCCAACCTTAATGGCTGTAAACAGCTCTGAATGAGCCAATGCAGTGCTGCCTTCCCAGCTCTGCCAAGACCTCTGCTCTGTGCAGTTCTCAAACAGCTGCAGTATTGAGAAGACCAGTCTGTTCCACACTGCCTTTCAGAACCCTGAGGGCAGCAGCCAAGCAGAGAAACATTATCACTCCCCTTTCTCCTTGACTAGGCTGACTTGTAGAAGCAGAATCCAGACTAATTCCAACACCAGCTGAACCTAAGAACACAGAGGCAAAGCAAATAAATATTTTCTTCTCTCAAATAGTTTCTTTCCCCAGCTGAGAGCTGGATGCTTCAAAAAACCCTGCTTCTTCTTGGCACATATGGAAGTTGGATGGCTTGAACGTGGTCCAAGAACAGCAGTCTGCTGAGAGTGCCTGAATCTCACAAGCAGCTGGGCCTGGGTTTGCCATCAGGGCTGTGTCCTCCTCTGCCATCCTTCTCCACAGCAGTCTCTGGGTAATGAATGGCACTCATAAAAGCATTTATCTCATAATTCAATACTACTGTGCTTGCTACAGGAAGCCCTTGATTCAATGGGCATCCTCACACTTCTGTTATTTGCAATTTGGGCAAAAGGCTCCTTTTCAAAAATCTAAGTACTAGAAATATACACTTATATTGGTTTTAGCCAGAAGTCTTAAAACAGAGTGCATCAAATCCCATAGCAATAAAAATCTGCAAGAGTCATTAAGGAAGGATGACAGCTAGGTCTTGTTTATGATTTTAGCAAGTCAACAATTTGTTTGGCTTCAAAATATAGCAAAAAAAAAAAAGGCTTAGCTCTGTCAAACTATTACTTGACTAGTGAAGCCTTTCAGAAAAATTCATACAGATTTCATGTTTGCCAGCCTAATTAAAACTGTTATTCGCACCTTTAAAAGGAGAACAGGACAGAATGGCAGATCAGATGATTAGTTAAGTAATCATCAACTTATATACCTGATTTCCAGGTATACTATTTCAGGAAACCATTTTGTATCATAAAGAGATATTTAATATCTTTAAGGAAGAATGAAATGGACTGTGCTTAGCTCCCAAAAGACCTTCCATCAGCTGTTTTTTCAGAGTAGTTTTTGTTACCCGACTTCTGAACAGGCAAAGAGAATCCAACATGACATATTGTATATGATTGTTAACATGAGGCAGGACTTAGGACATACTTAAATACTTAAGATTATTTTATTTGATTTTAAGCCCTTGAAGAAGGGCTCGTTACTGCAGCACTGTTTGCCAGATGGAATTGCAAGAGGTAAGAACCAACTATTTTATGTAGCCATAGGCAGAAGGATCATCACAATTAGCTACAGGAGGTACTGTGAAGTCACCTGGGGAGCTCCTGAATGCTGCACTTTGGGCAGGGAAGTCACTTGTTTCTCTCCTCTGTAGGAAAGGCCAGGTTCTAGGCTAGGTAACTAAAAGCAATTAAAAAAACACATAAGGACAGTCTGCTCAGAGGGCATGCCCAGGAATCAGTCCCTAATAGCCAATTATCTTTAATAATTTATTTCATCAGAATAATCTATTTGAACCAGTTTAGTTCTCTACATGCACTGATGATTAGGCATGGAAATGAACGACAGGTGAAGAAAATTTTTAAACCCTCTGCAAGAATTTATGTCAGAAGCCTTTACCTCTTCCCTCTATTCTCTATCTGTGGTTTGCTTGGAAATTGTAAATTAGGAAAAGGTGGTTCAGTTATTTTCGTCTGTTTGCAGTAAGAATGACTTCCTTTCCTGACACTGAGATTTGGGGTTCTCTGGGACAAGAGATGAAAGAGCAGCCCTCCCCATTCCACTGGCTGGAACATGCAGGACCTCATCAACAGGCTGAAATGAATTGTCCATACAAACAATTACATCATGAGTAAAATAACAGATGCACAAGTCCTTTTCTTTTAAAGAAAACAATGGTGTGTTCTAAATTAAAAACCATATGGGTCGTAAGCTTAAAAGCTGATAAAAATCAGGATGCAATAAATATTCCGGAGGGAAAAAAAAAAAGGAAAAAAACCAAGAAGGAAAGCAAGATCTCCCTGCAGCAAAGGAAACGTCGGCAAAGTACTGGAGGTTCAAACCTGCCACAAACTGCAGGGGCTGATCCCCGTTCCCTGCCCAAGGTGACTGAACCTGGGAGCCACCGCCGGGAATGCCGCCCTGGCCCCCCGGCTGCACAGCGAGCTGCGGGGCTGTTCCGGGCCCGCAGGGCTGGGCAGGGGCAGCCCCCCCGGGGCCCCGCGCC